AAATTAATATTGAAGAGGTAATTATGACAGGATTGTGAGTAGTAATATTTGACAAACTACCTGTGTACAGAAGTATGGAAACCTGTTTCTGCCACTGAATAAAAAAGGTACCGTATTGACCCGAATATAAGACAATGTTTTTTTCTTGGAAATAATATGAAAATAATTGAAGACAAAATGTGTTTTACTGAGAAAAAAAAAGCCTTTTTTTTTGGTTTAAAAAGGCCTTTTTCCAAAAGGTACATCTGGAAAAAGGGGGGTCGTCTTATAATTAGGGTCGTCTTATATTCGGGCCAATACAGTAATTGCGTTTTTTTCCTCAGAATCACAATTGCGAATTTATATCTCGCAATTTTGACTTCTTTTCTCAGAATTGCGAGATATAAACTTGCAATTGCGAGAGAAAAAAAAAGTTAGAAGTGGCGGAAACGGGCTTCCATATAGAAGGAAGCACATTAAAAGAATAGTTCTCCCAAAAAATACAAATGTATTCAATGCAAACCTAGAAAACATATGACATTTCTGGGTGAACTTTCCCTTTAAATCTTGCTAAACCGCTTCCAACCTGCCATGTCTTACAACAAGAGGGAGTTGTTCCTCCATCCATTTCGAGATTACTTTACTGCACTGTAATACTAATTTTTTGTCAGTCGGATGTCTAAACATATTACCACAGATTTTTTAGCAAGGTTACTGGTCGGCTAAATGTCAATGATGACCTCATAGTTTCCTAAAAGGCAGCAGGTCAGATAAGATTCTTGTTTCAACCGATCCAAATATCCACGCTTAGTGAAAAATGAAAAAGTGCTTGCTTGCACATTATCATTCACTGAAGGGCAGTTGTGGCCTAATGGTTAGAGAGTTGGACTTGTAACCCAAAGGTCGCAGGTTTGAGTCTTGGTATCAGCAGGTATTGTAGGTGGGGGGAGTGAATGTACAGCGCTCTCTTCCACCCTTTAGCAAGGCACCGAACCCCCAACTGCTCCCTGGGCAGCCCACTTCTCCGGGTGTGTGTTCACTACTCACTGCTGTGTGTGTGCACTTGGATGGGTGAAATGCAGAGCACAAATTTTGAGTATGGGACACCATAATTGGCCACACGTCACTTTCACTGAAACTTTACACAGGCAGTAAAATTTAAATAAGATTTTTTTTAATGAAAGAGATAAATGACCTGCACTCTACCAACTAAAGGTGCAAATATCCATGAACATCAATAATAACAAATGAAAAATTTTAATTAACTGCTCTTATTTTTCTTAATATTTTTATATATAATTTTATTATACTAGGGTGTTGCTATGCAGTTGGTGGAATGTTCTGGCTGGTTACCAGGGTTTAGCTGTGCAGCTGGTAGGATGTTCTGGGTGATTGATAGGATGTTGCTATGTAATTTTTTTTATAACGTTTTAAGGGGTATTAGGGTGTTGCTATGAAACTAGTAGAATATTCTGGGTGGTTGCTAGGGAGTTGCTGTGCATTTGGTAGAACGTTCTGGTTGGTTGCTAGAGTGTTGCTATTCAACTGGTAGAATGTTTTGGGTGTTTGCCCGAGTTTTGCTATGTAATTTGTAGGATATTCTGGGTGGTTGATAGGATGTTGCTATGCAATTCGTAAAATGGTTTGGGTGGTTGCCAGGGTTTTGCTATGCCATGTGTAGGATGTTCTGGCTGGTTGATAGGATAATACTATGCAATTTTGTGGAATGTTTTGGGGGGTTATTAGGGTGTTGTTATGCGATTGGTACAATGTTCTGGTTGGTTGCTAGAGTGTTGCTATGCAATTGGTAGGATATTTTGAGTGTTTGCCAGCGTTTTGCTATGCAATTGATATGGTGTTCTGGATGGTTTCTAGGGTGTTGCTGTGCTAATGATTAGTAACCAAAGTTCAAAGTGACCACAAATCTAATATCTGTGATATTCTGGTCTTTATTTCAATGTGAATCTAGATTTTTCTTGCCCATTTTATAGTCTACCAGGTGAAAATTGTAAGTTTGGTCACTTTCTTTAACAGGGATCATTCATGCAGCGCTTTTTCAAATTCCTAACCTCAAGTCTGACTATACCTGCCTTCAGAGGGCATGCAAAATTAGATACGTTGGATGGTTAATCCTGTTATGATTTGCTTTACAAAAGAATTATGCATGAGGTTACTCATGGACATTTTATTGGTTAAATTAAAACAATCAAATAATTATAGAGCCTTTAAATTTAAGTTCTGGGAACTTCTGAATTTGAATGCTGCAACTTCTTTTGGGAAGATCACATACATTTGACCAGAGACTGTGTGTGTGTGTGTGTGTTTAGGTAAGTGGTGATAAGACATACTCACTCACCCCCCCTCCAACCCTCCAGCCCTTCACCACGTCATTCCACCTTGCATCTCCCTTTGCTTTTGGAATTTGGGTGTAAGGGCTATGGTACCACCCGGTACCGATATTTATCCTAATTACATTTCTGACAAGGAACAGGACGCACCATTCATCAGTGTCAGTGAGAGACAATCAGAATCCCACATTCCGCTCGTCCGACCGACGGCCCTGATTGAGGGCTCCTCTGCTGAGCTATGCTGATGGTGTCGATATGTCCTGGAGCCCATCGGGGAAGGTAGAGGGGTGGTACGTTATCTCCTCAGATGTTACTCACAGGGGGAGATCAAAAGGAAGGGTTGAGATGAAGGAGAGTTAGGGCTGTAGAAGCGCCTGCTCGTCGACTGGCACGCTTGGCTCCGCTGGCTGTCAATTCGGTTGTCTAAATGCTTCATCAGTGGCATGGAACAATCACATGTGAGCACACTGCTTTTCAGAATTGAAATGGGTGCTGCTTTGATTTGATTAATTTCACTGCAAACATTGGTTTTGGTATTTCTGTCCTGATTTTCCATACAAATATCTACACATCCTTAAAACAAAATACATTTACTTGAGATGCAAAATTGTTTAGCATAAAACCATTTGATTACGAATTAAGACTATATCTGAGCTCATTGTCTCATTGGGCTCATTTTTTTCACTAAATTTAGCTTGTTTTATATGATTTAAGACCAAAACAAAGACAAAATTTAGCAAATGGAGTAACAAAAATGATGTGAAGTCTTAATTTACAAAATAATTTCACTTTAGACAAAAATTAAAGCTGCATTCTGTAACTTGTTTTGGTTAAAAATGATCCAAAACAATTATTGAGCAAGTACATAACCAATCAGTATTCCAAACTATCTCCTTACCATAGCTCACAACGGTAAGCTTGTAATAATGTTTTCTAATTTGAGTGGTTCAGGTCGTTCGTCTTTGCGTCATTACATGATGTCTGTATACATAAAGGAGGAGTCCTGGCTAGTAGGCTCTATCGCGTGTGTGGATGCTGCAGGCGGCGGATCATTTGTAGCCTCTTCTTACAGCAGCTGGAATAATTAAAGTTATGTTAAGTTATGTGATCTGAGCTAACTTTGCGATCATTAGATTGGTAGCGCAAATTTTTTATTTTTTTTCAGTTGGTCAGAACAAAACTGGCAGACATGTTGCGTACTTGTTCAGATGACATTTCCCGGTTAAACGTCATATTTTGGACATACTTCCAAGACGTAGTATCTAATTCTGAAGTACAGTGAGTGAATATCCACACTGGTGCGTTGACTGACAGCCAACACATACACCTCAAAACATTAGATTCATCCGCGCTGAGGAGCCGTGCCGATGCACAACCCACATAAACAAGATAATTCCGCAAATAACTGCAATTGCAGGTTTCAAACAGAGATGGTGACAAAGAGGCAAAACTTACGGACTGCAGCTTTAAATGTTTAATCTGAACAGTCTGTAAATAACGCTTCCAATGTACTTAGCTTTTAGAGTCTCATTTGTTGCACATACATTTTTAAACTGTTATGCAACACAGATTTTTCCAAAAAAAAAAAGTACAAAATAAACAATATGAGATTTTGTAATAAATGCAGTTGTTTAGACAAAGAAAGTATATTAAGAGTACAGTCACTTGCTTTCTTCCTGAGATAATGACAAAGTTTTTTTTGGTCACTGTTATAAAGAAAACAATATACATTTGAGATAATTGACAAGGATACATATAAAACAATTCTTCTAGGACTGTTCAGAGGCGTTCTCACGGAACTGCAACATTGATCATGTATATTGCACGTTTGCATTTAGAAAGGTCGGAGGTCTTTGGATCAGTCGTGAAGGATATTTTCCATGTAGGGGGAGATCTTTGAACCTTATCTTGTGTAGTAACTCCTGCAATGTTTATATTATTTCTTATTACATTACATTATCTTGACTTCTCAAATCCATCATGCTCAGGTTTTATGATGTGTGGGAGTACATCTTTGGTTGCTATCTTGTATAGTCGGCATTGAGTAAGCCCGTAGCCCTGAATGATGAATGTGGGGTTTTCTCCTTTTTTTTAAAAAGCTAATGGATGCAATGGTTTGAGGCATCTGTCATTTAGAGATGGCACAATCATGGGTCAAAGCTCAGGTAAGAATGTTACATAGAATTAATGTGTGAAATGATGCTGTTCTCTGACCTTACCAGCTGTTGTCCCATCAAAAAATCATGTATAATTCTGACAATTATAAAACAGATAAAACCGAACATGAGAAAAAATAAAACATATTGCATAGGGCCCTAAATTTTTTTATTTTTTTTTGTTAAACTTTTAATGAATTGATGTTTAATTGTATACGTTTCATGGTTTTACTTTACTTTAATTTAACCATTAAAAAAGGAGTCAATTAAAACAAAAAACAGAATCTGGAAAAATTGGAAAAAATTGAATTTGGAAAAAATAAAACAGAATTTGTGAAGAAAAAAAAACTGATTTTATAGGGCCCTACTTATTTACCCTTAAAGAGTGCATATTAGTACCTTAAAAGTGCATATAATTATATCTTTTGACAAGGTACCGCTGCAGTGACAGCTTTTGTGCCTTTGAACAGATCAGATTTGAACAGATGATCAGAATATCCTGTCATTTTCTGTGTAGGTTCAGGTTGTGAGGTGGGGTCTTTCCGTTGTGGGACAGGCCGTTGTATTCCAGCAAGCCAGAGGTGCGATGGAACAACCGACTGTTCGGATAACTCAGATGAATTTGGCTGCCGTAAGTAACTCTTCCTCCACAGTCACAAGGTCACACTTGAACGCTGATAAAGAGTGGCAAGTGTGAAATACAGCTGTTCAGTTTGTAATCTGTAAACCCAGAGCAGCATCAGCACTGGCCATGTGTTCCCTCGGGAATTTGAAATGGGTTTTTAGAATTGTAGTTTTTGGCTTACTAGCATCACTTTTTTTACCGAAAAGTCTTATTTTTATACACCATTTTGGGTTTTAGAAACAAGTTTCTTACCAGTTTTAGGGCTGTTTTCACGCATTCATACCAGATGTATTCAAGAAATAAATTCCTGTGTAAAACTGGCTAGCTTTCTATGGACAGCAAATCTCTGGAAATCATGGCATTGCCAAAATATAGAGTGGCATAGACCAAAAGAGTTTTGAGAGGTGAAAACCTACAAATCTCAGATGACTGTCACAGCAGTCCAGAAGGAAAGATTAAAAAGTTAAAAGGTCATGCGACGCACATTGCATTGTGGTATACAAAACCCAATGCAGTTTTCACTGCTGTATACTGCATATTTTGATAAATTTAGTAGGTATTTTATAATGAAAGGTACACTGCAAAAAAATTATATGCTCAGTATTTGTCATGTTACAAATATCTAAAAATTCTTAAATCAAGATACATTGAGAAGCAAAATGATATTGAATTTTGTTTTCTGAAAAAAAGTGGGTTTTTGCTTAAAACAAGAAAAATGTCTATTAGTGGGGTAAGAAAAATAATAAGTTTTATTTTACATAGCTCAGAGACATATTTTTCTTGTTTAGTAACAATCAAAAATGACTTAATTTTGATTTTTTTTTTCCCCAGAAAACAAGACTTCAATAGTTTCAGTCATTTTGCTTCTCAAGTAAATTTAAGAATGTTTAGATATTTTACTGGAAAACAAAACAAAAATGCTAGCATACTACATATACTGTATACTTCAGAAAAAAGTATTGGTTGCATGCTATTTCAAACAAGTTTGGACCAATAAATGAAGAAATTAGTTTTTTAAAAGATAATGGTGCATATTTATTTCAGTATATCCACGTCACTTCTTAAATTCCTCTTCTTATGGAGTCAGTCAAGGAGCTCTTTGAAAGGAAACTCTTAGCGCAGGCCAGCTCAGATCTCTTCTAGCTTGGTTAACAATGCTGTCTTATTTCGCTCTTCCAGCCGAGCCCACCTGCGAGAGCGCTCAGTTCCAGTGCTTGAGTGATGGCGAGTGCATTCCGCAGCACTGGGTCTGCGATGATGAAGAGGATTGCGAGGATGGCTCCGATGAAAGGCAGCACTGCCGTGAGTACTCCTTATCTCCATCCGTCCGTCTCTCCCTCGCTTTCTGCTTCCATTTCAATTATAACTGTCCGTCAGAGCTGAGAGCTCCATTGACTCCCAGTAATGTACAGGGATGTAATTTCCGTCATGTCAGAGAAACACGATATCTCAGATGTGCAGGCAACAGTCTGAAAAACATAAGGCAAAGCGTGCATGTGTTGTAGGGAGAGCATGCCACTTTAGTGAAGATGAGGACCACCCAGCGCACTCATATTATAACCATGTGTCTTTGATTTTTGCTGGCAGCTGGCAGGACATGCTCCAGTTCACAGTTCACCTGTACGAATGGGGCCTGCATCCCGGGAGGATACAGGTGCGACCATGTGCCTGACTGTCTAGACGGAGCAGATGAGAGAAACTGCCGTAAGTATGCTGTCGGGATGTGTGTGATGGGATTAAAGCTGGGCAGTATAGCTAAATACTGACAGTATATTTAAGGTCATATATGGATATTTAATGTACCATTCAAAAGTTTGGGGTCGGTAAGATTTTTTTATGTTTTTGAAGTATCTTATGACCACCAAGGCTGCATTTATTTGATTAAAAAAGACATAAATTGTTACAATTTAAAATAGCTGTTTTCTATTTGAATATATTGTAAAATGTAATTTATTCCTGTGATGCAAAGATGAATTTTCAGCATCATTACTCTTCAGTGTCACATGATCCTTCAGAAATCATTCTAATATGCTGATTTGCTGCTCAAGAAGCATTTCTTATTATTATCAATGCAGAAAATAGTCATGCTGCTTAATATTTTTGTGGAAACTGTAACAATATCTTCAGGATTCTTTGATGGATAGAAGTTCAAACAAACTAAAACCATAAAAGAACATTTTCGTTTAAAATAAAATAAATGTAACTGAAATAAAATGTATTTTTTTATTTTATAGATTTTTATTTTTATTTTATTCCAGTTAGTTGCCAAAGCAACATTTCTCATTTTCATTTAGCATTTCTCATTTTCATTTTCAAATTTTCATACTAAAATGACTAAAACTGAAATAAAATTTGTTAAAAACTATACAGACATATTTTTAAAAAACAATAACTAATAAAATGACAAAGACACAACTAAATGACTAAAACTTTAACTAAAATTTAAATGAAAACAGAAAATGCAAACTAATTAAATCTAATTCAAAATAACTGTATAATAACTATGCAACTGTATAACTTCAAAAACTATAATAGTATCTCAGAAATAATAAAATAACTGCTTATGGCTACAATTTTTCATTAAATGAATAAATATAAGATTGCTGTTTAATAATTTTCAATATCATGCATCATTAGTTTTGAATCAACTGTGAATTATTTTGAACCGATTCACAGTTTTGAATCAAATTGACCAATTCTGTTGCTGTTTTTTAATGCAGTTTAAAGGGGTCATATGATGTTGCTAAAAAGAACATTATTTTGTGTATTTGGTGTAATGAAATGTGTTTATGCGGTTTAAGGTAAAAAAAACACATTATTTTCCACATACTGTACATTATTGTTGCTCCTCTATGCCCCGCCTTTCTGAAACGCGTC